CTTTAATGTGGGCGGTGGGGAAGCCTAGTGGTTAAAGCGTCCGCTCGTCACGCCGAAGACCCGGTTTCGATTCCTTACATGGGTAAAATGTTTGAATCCCCTTTCAGGTGTCCCCCGCCGTGATATTGCTGGAATATTGCTAAAAGCGACGTAAAACCATACTCACTCACTCTCTTTAATGTTTGTTATGACAACGTGCTTGTTTATAGCCAAAATGCCACAGTTGATTTAATGTCGATAAGTTTTTATAGCTTTATAGTTATTTATGCTTTATAGATGTATAAATTGTTTTCTCGTTTATGGGTGAAATATTGCTCGTCGTTAAATGTTTTTATCATGGTAAGGGGAACTTTTTACTTTTCAAAGATTTAGTGACGAATGTTGGATTCTTTTCTGATAACATACTATTTATATGAACGATGTACATATGCCTCGGACTGTATGAAAAATTAATGTGCCCATGTCTTAGATATTATGTCTATTGAAACATTGATACTTCATAACTGCATTAACTATAATGTGTTATGGCCATTCTCTACAGATTATACTGTTACAGGGTTTATAGAAAACAGTTTGCTGTTTCTATTTATTTGAAACAATAAACGAGCTCTATGCAATAAACAAGAAGTTGTTATCCATAAAGTTGAATGTTTCATTTTTGACTCACCAACTTTTAGAATGCCGATCAAACAATTATTAAATGAGCTCCTTTTTATGTTGGAAACACTAACTGAGCCCCTGAACATTCATCTCATAGTAAAATCCCTCAAGACCAGTTAAGCATTCGTTTGAACTGGAGATCACTGACTGGATCATATACCTTGACTGTCAATCCTCATTAACATCATATCATCCCTCCAACGTCAGTTTCCATAAATCTATGACAAACTATGAACCAAATCCGACTGATGAACGTACTGAGGGATTTATGATTGAGGAATACCACAAATACTTCGGTTATGTAGTAAAGATTCTGCTTGCGTTCTCAGCTCCAAAAGAAACACAGCTGTCTGTTTGTCCCCAGAAGGTTCCGGAATCATATTTCCACCTTATTGTACCAGCTCCTATTAGATAAAGGGACTATTTTTAAACGCCGTTACATGTCAAAAGTGACACTGACCTTATATTCAATTTGTCGAGTTTCAGTAAAACGAAAAAAATCCAGAAGAACAAGAAGGAGGTTTTTGAAGCATACAAATCACGTTCATGTGTAGAAACAATACAACAATCATAATAGATGGTAAAGTATCACAATACCGGACAGTCGTGGAATGCAATTCATATTCTCTCCACACACACACACAAAGAAGAAACACAAAAGCAAAGAAGCAAAATAACGTAACAGCAGGAATCGCTTCGATAGTACGACACTATTTTTGTCAGATTATCACATAGACGTACGGCCATTTAAAAATTGAATCAGTTTTCCTTTCAGCAAGACGACAGGAATACTGGCGAAGGTTCTAGCAGATCACATGAAAACACGGGTGATCCCCATGCTGACGATGTGTTGGATAAACCCAGTATGGACTGGTGTATAAATGTCAAGAATATTGAAGTAATGTTTCAGGATAAACTTTCCGGAGTCTTATTTACCTCAGGGGCGGTGGGGTAGCCTAGTGGTTAAAGCGTTCGTTCGTCACGCCGAAGACCCGGGTTCGATTCCCCACATGGGTACAATATGTGAAGCCCACATCTGGTGTCCCCCGCCTTGATATAGCTGGAATATTGCTAAAAGCGGCGTAAAACTAAACTCACTCACTCACTTATTTACCTCAACGTTATAATATGTCATAAGCCACGTTCAGCCAGAGCAGTGAATGTTCAAATCGAAAGGCATCGGTTTTTAAGACCTTCCAAATAGAATGTGTCCTTGGTAATTGTGCTGATCTTGCAGCCACAGAATGTCAACCGCTAAAATACACGCAAGTGGCAGGAGTCAAGGTCTTCTAGGATTCGGGACATTATAAGGTGTTACGATTTATGTTCATCAGTTACCTTTATAAACTCCCTCACACATTTAGTGACAAGTTTTCAACAACGATAAAAGCGTATACATTCCAGGCTTACAAAAGCTTGTTTCCAGAGTTGTTTCCGATCTTATAGAACTTTGTCTTATATGTAATCCACTTTCCGAAAAACTGTGTTCGCCCTCGTATCTGCGTTTCGAAAAATCCAAAACAAGCATGTCAGGCACGTTACCAAGGCAACTACAAATATATTAGAACACCAGCGTTGCTTGATCTCACCTCATTTGCAGGCTGTGCACAGGAGACAGGACGTCTCAGCACGTAAATTGACGTTCAGACATAGGATTCAAACCCATTTGTGTGTGCATGAGGCGATGCATTTGCTGTTCCTAATCTGCTTTTAGACGACAGTTACGAATTATATTGAACTTTGATTTGATCAAATGTGGTCGAGCCAGATCAATGATTGAACAACGGCGTCTGAATACGACGACACAGAGTTATCAAGGTTAAACATCCCTGTTTCACAACCTCGTGGAGAGGAGTTATGGACTGCTGGTTAGAATCACGTTTTCACGAGGTTATTATTACGAAGCTGCGTAATGTTATTTCAGGACATTTCACATTGACGTTGTGAAAACGTTGCGCATCGGACGTCATGCTACGTTACTGTAACGTCGTTTCTATTTCACCGTCATACACTTTGGGTGACGGTAGTCATAATGATATAAGTGGTCAGTCCAAAATTAAATCTCTTTGCAAGGCAAATCAGTAACCTTAAAGGATAGGGTCTAAATCATTCGTCAGTAGCTGTATACATACAGCGTCACAATCAAAGGCCTTCATACTCAGGTAGCACACATTCATCTGTCCGTTGGTAGCTAAAACGTGGTTTATTGCTGGCGACCCACTCGCGGTCAGTCTGCCTGGTTGAAGTTGTGGAAAAACTGTGAGAATGTAGCGGTACATGTGTAATTAAAGTGTGAAATTAATTTATATGTTAAAATATATTTCTAGCAGTATCCGAGAAAACGGAGCAATCTTGCATTTAGAATTACCAACATAAGCATCTCTAGGAAGTAAATTATATTGTATTGGCTTCTTTAATTGAAATGTTTTAGTTTTACATGCTAGTTATATTCATATCTGTGATACTCTAGTATTTGTACTGTCCATCGTCGACATGTTTTCTCTACACAATGTTTTCATTTTTTATTGTATAAATTGTTTTCGTAACGATATGGCTGAGATATTGCCGATGTGACGTTAATTATCAACTCACTCACTCACTCACTCTAGGAAGTATAAGCATCACGTTCACGCTGTTAGTGGATTCGAACCAGCTGGCAACAGTAGAATGACGCAGGATGCAAGCGACCTATAGCTACCAAAGTATACTGACAGTGTTGTACTTTAATGAACAGTTACTGTCTTTATTTCTTGTTGTGGCAGTCCTCCGCCGAAATATTGCTGCAATATTGCTGAAAGCGTCGTGAAACCATACTCACTCAATCTTGTGGCAGTGTGAAGCCCATTTCTGGTGTACCCTGCCGTGATGTTGCTGGAATATTGCTAAAAGCGGCATAAAACCATACTCACTGGCAGACTCTACAAATGCAATGAATGATATGTTTGGTATCTCTGAGTTTCGATCACACCGAACCCATTCGAAACAATAGATTGACATTAGATTGATGACATAGCCACTTGCAATTATTCATAATATCGTTAGTAATCATTACCTTCCATGGGAAGTTATGGTTAATACGAGCGTTCTGTATTGTATGAAGCAAATTATGTATGAAATTTCTATATGATTCATCTATATGATTTATGACATCAGGTCTAGAGAACTCATACAGCAAATGTTTGTATTTATAAATACTGTAATCACTTGTCTCTGAGGTAAAGTGGAACTATATTATTAGCTGCAGACAGATTTCCTCTGGTTGATATTGACACCAGTGACATTATACTTTTAGTAAATGGGCGTTTTTATAAATAAATTGATTGTAGTTTATGTTCTTCCTTGCAGATGTATTTGCAGTATTGTGTTACAGTAGTATGCCAGGTGGGTCATTTGTAGAAAAGTGAAGATTTAGAGGAGGCGCAAATACAAATGGATAAATTCTTCTGTCGAGTTTTGTCAAGTCTGTACTTATATGGATATACATATGTTTATGTTTCTTATCAGATACCAAAGGCCCGAAAACGATCACATCATGCATGTACATGAAAGAATATAGATTGCTTATATTTTGCTTTGCTCCGATTTTCATATTAGCTGGTTCTTAAAAAATACTTTCCTTGTTTTACCCCCTAACAACAAGTACCATCTGTTAATATCTTCTCAATCCACCGACCTTCCGCTCTTCGCTTTCAATCTCTATCCATGTGTCCATTTGACCGTCTCCCCATTGTGAAAGTGCTGCGTATTTCGTTCGGGCGTAAGTATGATGCGTAGTGATACAATGTTGACAAATTTAATCTTCTCACACCATATTACTTCACCGCTCGCATTCCGTTTTTAACAACGTCAACTCATCGACTCATGACAACGAAAAAGGGAAAACTCAGAATAACGCAGTGCGGGCGTGTTTTCACAACACTTTTCCTTTTGTATTTAGTGCTAATTAGTATATTTGAACTGCGTCACATTTCACGCATACACCTTATGCCGCCTCTTCATAATACACTAGTTACTGTAGAAAAACAGCCTTTCAGATTAGGCCTAAGAACCAATTACAATTTGGGGATTTTGAACAGAATATCGAAGCAATTATGCCAAAGACTTTAAGAGGGAATAAGGCCAGATAAACCGAAATAACTTCGCGTAAGCAGTTGTGCATTTTCAAGTATAGAAAACAGTATTATATATATTTAATGTATTGATCTGGTGAGATATCTCGTCTATACATGATTGGTCATGCACAATGGTCGTGTTTCTTCTAACAAACTCTACTTCTTCACCTCCCTCTATAGCTGTGATAACACTTATCCATTATGTCAAAGGCTAATATCTGTCACTAACAGTGCACCATACTTTCCAGCACTCTCACTGATGTTGGTGTAAACAGCCCACCTTACTTGTGGTCTGACTGGAACATCCTGGGCTTTGGCACATGCAGTCCCTGCAAATGTTGCAGAGGCAGGTCACATGACTGCTCTCTATAAAAACTACATGTGTCAGAGGCCCAGCACACACCATGTCAGGCAGCAACTTAACATGTTGTTGTGACCCACAGGTATGTTGTGAATTTGGAATGTTGTGAATTTGGAATGATTGTTTTAATTAATTATGCAAAAGGTATTTATTTCTCAGGTATGAAGTTTATTCAACATGATATTAAACAATGTTATGGGGAAATTGCCAGTGATAATATTAATTGTTTAAAATACAATGAATTCCATAGAATATATTTTGAGTATTTAATAATTGATTAACATTTATATTACCTGTGTAATGACACACACCATGTCAGGCAGCAACTTAACATGTTGTTGTGACCCACAGGTTTCGTGCATACAATAAATATCATCAGCCAGAATGGACTTTGTAGTTCCTGGGACAAAATGGCGCCCAACGTGGGGCTGATGTGTTATGAAGACGACCTGTGGATGATGTCATGAGACTCCATGTGGCCACGATACAGCAGCTGCAGCAGGTGTAACGTCGCTGGAATATCCCAGGCACCGTGTCTCCTCTTGTGTTCACAAGACCTTCAATAAGGTGATGGGGCCCGTATCACATGAGAGGTTACGACATTGCCGGCATCGTGTGCACACTCGCGTTATCGCGTTCGCGTTTGCGTTGTTTTGTGTCAAGAAAATGACTTTATGTTGGCTTTTTGTTGATGTGATTGTCAGCATGTGACTTTTGATTATCGTTTTTGAAGTCAGCATGGGACCTTTGATTATTGATTCTTTGATGTCCACATGTGATTCTTGAGTGATTTTTGGACGTTGTGGATGTCCGCACAAGACTTTTTGATTATCGTTCTTTGTCAGCATGTGATTCTTGAGTGATTTTTGGACATTGTGGATGTCCGTACAAGACTTTTCACTAACATTAAATTGCACGCACTGACAAATTTTTACAGTGGTTAATTGATGACACTTAGTGATTGTTTTTTCAGATAGCAGCTTGTTCAGCTTGTTCAGCTTGTTCAGATAGCAGCAGTGTGAACTTCCTCTACAGTTTTTCACTTATGTTGCCTGAGAAAGTTTTTGCATATCTATATTTGTTGATCGCCTTTTCAGTCATGGCTACTGGTGGTAAAGAGGACTGGGAAGGGTGTAAGGAAGAAGAGGGGCGTATTGGCCATGAGGATTTACAGAAAATGATAAGGTTTATGGAAACATCTGGATATCCTGTACTTCCACAAAGTTCATCACCTCGACGGAGGGCAGGGGCGGTGGGGAAGTCTAGTGGTTAAAGCGTTGGCTTGTCACGCCGAAGACCCGGGTTCGAATCCCCACATGGGTACAATAAGTGAAGCCCATTTCTGGTGTCCCCCGCCGTGATATTGCTGGAATATTGCTAAAAGCCGCGTAAAACCAAACTCAGTCAGTCAGTCAGTCGACGGAGGGCAAGTAGTTCTTTCTGTTCACCCAATGCACAGTATATTCAGCCACCTCGCATTTCAACATTTTCTGGTAGTAATGTTAAAGGGGAGTCATCCTTTGAGAGTTGGGTTTTTTGAAGTCAAATGCTTGTTGGCAGATGGGGATTATCCCACTTCCATTCTCATTCAGGCGGTTCGAAAATCTCTTAAGGGAGAGGCTGGGAAAGTTGTACTCTTACTTGGTGAATCTGAGTCGGTTGAGGAAATACTGGTCAAACTTGAAAGCATATATGGTGTTGTAAGTTCAGCTGACACACTTTTGCAGAACATTTTCACTGACTATCAGAAGGATAGCGAGTCAGTGGCAACATGGGCCTGTAGGCTTGAGGACACATTGGTGAAAATTAAGAGTAAAGGCGACTTCATAAATGAAGGATCGGGAGATTGTATTCTGAAAACAAAGTTTTGGAGTGGTTTGACAAATGATAGACTTAAGGATGCTACTTGTCATAGATTTGATGACTGTACAGATTTTAATTATCTGCTTCGTGTTGTTAGGGAAACTGAACAAGAACTCCCTGGGTCTAGTAGGGTTAGGGACCCTAAGCAGAGAAAACCTCAGGTCCATCCGCAGGTTGTTGATTCTGATATATCGCAACATTTGAAGGAAATTATCAAGAGGTTAGATAACTTGGAAAAAACTCAGAAATCTTCAAGTCAACATAAATCAAAGTTGGAAAAGGATGTTGGCGAGATCACCAGGTTAACAAAACTTGAGTCTAAGGTTGGAAAAGTTACTGAATCTGTCAGTTATTCTGGTTCTCGTGGTCGTGGCCAGACTCGTGGTAGAGGTATCGTCAGTAATAAGGCTTTAAACCAGTGTTGACTTCTGTTGAGGAGCAAACAGATGTCAGTGATACTCACAGCTCCAATGATTTGTATTCCCGGATGGTTGGTCCGAGTGTTGAGGCTAATGTCTTCGTTAATGGCAGGGAATGTTTAGTCTTGCTTGATACAGGTTCACAGGTAACAACTATTGCAGAATCGTTTTACCGTGATAGCATGAATGATCTGGAGTTGCGCACTTTAGATGAGTTTCAGTTGGAAGTTAGTTGTGCAACTGGTAACAAATTGCCATACTTAGGGTATATTGAGCTTCTCATTAGCGTTGCATTTGATACTGGCACGTATGTCATTCCAGTCCTGGTAGTAAAATACACAGGGTTTAATGCTAGGGTTCCCATAATTCTTGGTACAAATGCACTCAAATTATTCCGCCATTGTCCTTTGGATGATGTCTCAGAATCGTGGCAGACAATCCTGGATTATTTGAATACCTCAAGTGTCGGTATTGTCAGATCAATCAGTAAACATCCAGTTTCAATTAAGCCCATGGCAGTGGCTACATTGAGGGGTATAGTCCATGACTGTTGTTACAGAACAGATAGAAAATAGTAGCGCACCTCAAGGGTTAGGTGTATATCCCCGGGTGGTGGAATTAGGGGCTCAAGGCAAAAGTACTATAGTTCATGTCAAGGTTTGTAATTTGTCGGCAAGGGAAATTACACTCCCAAGTAAAGCCAAGCTATGTAATTTGCAGGAGGTACAAGTTATGAATTGTTTTCCTCTGACTATAGACAAGTCTCCTTGCTCTGATGGTGAGGTTCCTCCCGTTACTATTAACTTAGAGGGCAGCCCATTATCATGTGATCAGAAACACAAGGTTGAAAACATGCTTAGTCATTGGTCAGACATTATGTCTCAACATCCTTTGGATTTGGGTCATACTACAACAACACAACATGAAATCAACCTTACGGATGATAAACCGTTTAAGGAGCCATATCGTAGAATACCCACAGCATTATTTGAAGAAGTCAGGTAACATTTAAAGAATATGCTTGAGTGTGGAGCCATACGTGAAAGCAGTAGTCCTTATTCAAACATTGTCTTGGTTCGCAAACGTGACCATAGTTTGAGAGTATGTATAGACATGAGAAAACTGAATTCTAGAACCATTGGGGATTCATACTCTCTACCCAGGATTGATGAAACTCTTGATTGTCTAGTTGGTTCACGAGCTCTGGATAGTGGCAGGTAGAACTTAAGGAATCAGACAAAGAGAAAACAGCATTTTCAGCAGGTCCTCTCGGATTCTATGAATGTAATAGAATGCCGTTTGGATTGACGAACGCACCAGCAACCTTCCAGAGATTAATGGAAAAATGCATGGGGATTTACATCTTAAGGAATGCTTGATTTATATTGATGATATCATCATTTTCTCACAAACATTTGAACAACATTTGGAGAGAGTTGATGCTGTTTTTCAGAGATTGAGAGAACATGGTCTAAAGTTAAAGCCTTCAAAATGTGAGCTTTTCAGAAGTAAGGTCAAGTACCTTGGGCATATTGTTTCTTCTCAGGGTGTAGAAACTGATCCAGAGAAAATTGAAGCATTGATAAATTGGCCAATTCCAAAGAATATCAAGGAACTACAGAAGTTTCTAGGGTTCACAGGTTACTATCGGAAATTTGTAAAAAACTATGCCAGGATAGCAAAACCTTTGACAGATTTACTTCTTGGGAATCTCCAGAAGGGAAAGCCAAAACAGAAGGGGATATGGACGTGGAATAGTGATCAGCAGGATGCTTTTGATACTTTAATTGAGTGCCTTACATCACCTCCAGTGCTAGCCTATGCAGACTACACTAAGCCTTTTATCCTTAACATAGATGCAAGTATGGAAGGCCTGGGGGCAATACTTTATCAAGTTCAGGATGGTAAGGAACGTGTGATAGCATACGCTAGTAGAGCACTGAGGAAAACCGAGAGAAATTATCCAATCCATAAACTGGAATTTTTGGCGCTAAAGTGGGCTGTATGTGATAAATTCCATGAATATCTATATGGAAGTCGTTTTTAAATAAGAACCGACAACAATCCTCTTACATATGTTTTGTCTACAGCCAAGCTGGGTGCCACTGGTCATAGATGGCTAGCTGCTTTCTCCACTTATGACTTCAAAGTTACCTACCGTGAAGGTAAAAGTAACAAGGAAGCAGATGCATTATCTCGTCACCCTCAGTTCTTTCAGCATATTCAGGCAGATGCAGTCAAAGCAGTTTGTTCTTGTCAGACCATGAATGCTGTTGATCCTTTGGCTGTATGTCCGGCTGTTCTTGAGGAGAGCAAAGTCCCTTTTAATCATATTGATTGGGTATTTGAACAATCCAAGGATCCTGATATAGCTAGGGTAGCAGATTTTGTGCTGAAGGAGAGAAAACCTACTCCACGTCAACTTAGTAAGGAAACTGATGTTGTACGTAGGCTTTTAGGACAATGGTCAAAATTTGTCTTAAGAGATAGTATTCTCTACAGGAAGAGGTGGCATCAAAACAGTTTAGGATATCAACTTGTCTTACTAAAACAGTGGCAAACACTTGTTCTTCAGGCACTGCATGATGATATGGGTCATCAAGGACGCGATAGAACGCTGGATTTAGTTCAGTCACGGTTCTATTGGCCTGGTTTAACCTATCGATGTGGATAGAAAGGTCAGATGTTGTGGCAGATGTATCAGGCGAAAAAATTCTCCAAACCAAGTAGCTGCTCCGTTGGTTAATATCACCACTAGTCAACCAATGGAATTAGTTTGAATTGATTATCTCTCATTGGAGGAAGCTAGAGGTTATGGTAATATTCTAGCGATCACTGATCATTTTACCAGGTTTGCACAGGCTATCCCTACGAAAAACCAGACTGCTACTACAACAGCTAAAGTCTTGTTTGAATTTTTCCTTCATTATGGGTTTCCAGCTCGACTACATAGTGACAAAGGAAGAAATTTTGAATCCAAAGATTCAGAGCTTTATGCAGACTTGCAGGTACAGTGAAGACTAGCACCTCACCATATCATCCTATGGGAAATGGTATGGTAGAACGGTTTAACCAGACTCTTCTCAAAATGTTAGGTACGTTGGAGGATAATCAGAAGGAAAATTGGAAAATATATGTTCCAGCTCTTGTCCATGCATACAATGCTACCAAACATGATAGTACAGGTTATTCACCTTTCTTTCTCATGTTCGGACGCCATCCACGTTTAGCTTTGGATGCTTTTCTTGGTCTATGTTTTGAAAACTTACATGAGAGGTCTGGGACAGATTATCTGTCACAATTGAGGGAAAGGTTGAAGTTTGCTTATAAGGTTGCTTCTCAGCAATCCGAAAAAGCTGCTAGTCGTCATAAGATGAGATATGACAGTCGGGTGAGGGAAGCTGTTCTTTCTGAAGGTGATAGGGTTCTGGTGAAGAATGTGGGTTTGAAGGGAAAACATAAATTGGCAGATTTTTGGTCTCGTGAGTCTTATGTTGTACTTCGTCAGCCCAACAAAAATATACCAGTTTACATCGTCAAACGAGAAGACGGACAAGGCTCCACAAAGACGTTGCACAGAAACATGCTCCTTCCTTTCATGTCTCTCCCATCTCCAGGTGAGCAAGTATCCTGGCAGGATGAATCAAATCAGGGTGTGGTCTCTGAGGAATCAGTGATTGTGAAGATTGGGTAGTTGTCTCTCAGAGTGGCCATGGAAACGGTGGTGTTTCTCTCGTTTCATCTTCTCGTGAGGTTTATACTCCCGCTATTTCAAATGATGTCAGTGTTGTAGATACAAGTCAGGAGCAGAATATGGATGTTCAGACTCCTACCTATCTTGATCCGCAAGTCAGTCCATTCGTACCGCGGCGATCTCTTCGTGAAAGAAGACAACCTACT